TTTTTTTTTTAAATCAGATCTGCATCTGTCGCCAGGCTGGAGTACAGTGGTGCAGTCAAAGCTCACTACAGCCTCCAACTCCTGGACCCAAACAGTCCTCCCGCCTCAGTCTTCCTTAGTAGGTGGGACTATAGGCACGCACCACCACACCTGTCTAGTGTTTAAAATATTTTGTAGAGATTTCTCACTGTGTTGCCTAGACTGGTCTTTAAACTCCTGCCCTCAAGTGGTTCTCCTGCCTTAGCCTCCTAAAATGTTTGGATTACAGGCATGAGCCACTGTGCCTGGCCTCTTACTTTTTGTGCTACTGAAATTTACCTGTCAGAGCAAAAGCCTCTGACCCAGCTGGCCAGTCTCTTTTCTGCAGAGAGGGTGACGTGGACCAGAGCCAGTAGACCAGGCCTCACCTAATGGCTGCACTTTGAGTAGGTCTTGCCTGGCACTTATATTTAGAAGTCACATATGAGAGTCTTATTTGTACACCGGTATGCCAGTTTATTAATTAAAATGAGGAGTGCCATCTGGGTGAAAACCTGCCTCTGTGTGTGTGTGTGTGTGTGTGTGTGTGTGTGTGTGTGTGCGCGCGCGCGTGTGTGCAGTGTTTTGTTTTGTTTTTTGAGGCAGAGTTTCTCTTGTCACCCAGGCTGGAATGCAATGGCACAATCTCAGCTCAGTGCAACCTCTGCCTCGCACCAGGTTCAAGCAATTCTCCTGCCTCAGCCTCCCAAGTGGCTGGGATTACAGGCATGCATCACCACGCCTGGCTAATTTTTATATTGTTAGTAAAAAACGGAGTTTCACCATGTTGGCCAGATGGGTCTCGAACTCCTGACCTCAGGTGATCCACCCACCTTGGCCTCTCAAATGCTGAGATTTCAGGCATGAGCCGTTGCACCTGGCCAAACCTGCCATTGTTTATTTGCTGAGAATAAGCTCATCCTTAGTAGCTAGAGCTCAAGAGACCAAATTAGGATTCAGAAAGCTGTTCTTATGAATGACAGCTGATCAAGAAAACTGGGCAGAGGTGTGTCTGCCTTCAGCAACTGCATGTCGTCTTTCAATATCCTGATGCTTTTCCCCCACAGTGCATGGATGTTGCAGTTCCAACCAAGACTGCATGGGTGACATTGACAACCAGTGCATCACTTAACTCTCCTTTTCCTTGACAGTATATTCCTGCTGCCCTTCATTTGTCTTTGTGATCTCACTTTGCTGTTTCTAAGATTTCTTAGGTTTTGTTTGTTTGTTTATTTATTTATTTGTGAAACAGAATCTTACTCTGTTGCCCAGGCTGGAGTACAATTGTGTGATCTCAGCTGTCTGCAACCTCTGCCTCCCAGGTTCAGGCAATTCTTACGCCTCAGCCGTCTGAGTAGTTTGGACTATAGGCACATGCCCCCACAACTGCCTAATTTTTTTTGTATTTTAGTGAAGATGGGGTTTTACCATGTTGGCCAGGCTGGTCTCGAATTCTAGCCTCAAGTGATCTGCCTGCCTCAGCCTCCCAACATGCTGGGATTATAGGAGTGAGCCACCACCCCCAGCTCTCTTAGGTTATATTTAGATCAGTAACTTTTTTTTTTGAGTAGGGTCTTACTCAGTCACTCAGGCTGAAGTACAGTGACATGATCTCAGCTCACTACAGCCTCAACCTCCCAGGCTCAAGTGATCCTCCTGCCTTGGCCTTCCAAAATGCTGGGATTACAGGCATCAGCCACTACACCTGGCTTAGATCAGTAGATTCTTGATGATATTTGGACCACCATGACCACCATGATCTCAGTAGCAGCATATTTATAAACCTGCTTTTAGGGTGAGTTAGGTAGCTAACTACACATTTTTATATTCTTATCATTCATTGGGCTTATTTTTTGGAGGGTGATCTTTTCCAAGCTTAATCTGCAATCCAGGGGGAAAAATATTTAAAGGCCTGCAGTCCTTATGCACAAGATAATTTAAGGCTGAGTGTAGAGTAACATTGGCAGTACTAAAACAACACCTACACCACATTTTTTATTTTATTTTTATTATTTTTTTGAAGACAGGATCTCACTCTGTTGCCCAGAATGGAGGGCAGTGGCATGATCACAGCTCACTACAGCCTTAACCTCAAGCAATCCTCCCACCTCAGCCTCATGAGTAGCTGGGACTACAGGCGCTGTGCCACCATACCCTACTACTTTTTAAAAAATTTTGTAGAAAAATTAGCTGGGCACTGTGGTAAGCGCCTATAGTCCCAACTACTCGGGTGTCTGAGGCAGGAGAATTGCTTGAACCCAGGAGGTGAAGGTTGCAGTGAGATGAGATTGCGCCACTGTACTCCAGCCTGAGCAGTAGAGCAAGACTCTGTATCAAAAAAGTTTTGTAGAGATGGGTCTTGCTCTGTTGCCCACACTGACCTTGAACTCCTGGCCTCAGGCAGCCCTTCTGCCTTGTCCTCCCAAAGTATATGATTTATAGTCATAAACACTGCATCTGGCCTTTTTTTTTTTTTCTTTAATGGAGCTAGCTAAAATACTTTTGTAAAAGAGGTAGGAGAATTAGGAACCAGCATTTTGTAATACTTAGAAATCTTGGTGTGTACTATAGCTTATGGTGACCTTAGTTGACCCAGAAATTCTATATTGCAAAGGGAAGTTTCTATCTAATACTCTAGAAAATGAAAGGAAAAAATCTCCTTGCTTCCTCCTCCGAACCAGTGTCTGTCCAATTGTCAGTCGAGCCACACTCCTTTTTGTCGAGCACTGCACAGCAAGTCATTATGACCTGAGGGAAGGGTGTTCTGGAGGCCTGTGGGTTTTGCCTTTGACCTTGATTCAGCTTGATTAAGCTGGCACCTGCAGCAACAGGCCTGGAGGGTTAAGGGAAAGGAAAAGATAACTCAATTCAGAACCAAGCATGTTCCAAAATGTTAAAGCATTCCATTTTGTAATCATGCTTACGTGGTTCCATTATCCTTGTAAGCTGACCACGGTTTGCTTGCCCCTACATGAATCGTGGCTGGCTTATCAGCAGCCCCTAAATGAAGGCCTCAGTGCAGAGAATTCCAGTAAGAGCAAATCCAAAAGTGAGAGTCTGAGTTCCCACCATCTCCAGCATAGAACTTCAGTGTCACGTACTTTTGTGGTATTCTTCCCATTTTACGAAAGCACATGCATTGCATTTCCCTCCCTTGGCCAGAGTATTCCTCTCTTGCCTCTACTCATTTCAGCTTTATCCTGTTGTCTTTCTCAGCCTTCTACGTCTCCTCCAGACTAGACACACCAGTGTTTGTTTTTTTTTTTTGAGAGAAAGAGTCTTGGCTCTGTCACCCAAGCTGGAGTGCAATGGCACGATCTCGGCTCACTGCAACCTCCCTCCCGTGTTCAAGCTAGTCTCGTGCCTCAGCCTTCTTAGTAGCTGGGATTACAGGTGTCTGCCACCATGCCTGGCTAATTTTTGTATTTTCAGTAGAGACGTGGTTTCATCATGTTTTCCAGGCTGGTCTTAAACACCTGAGCTCAAGCTATCCATCCATGTCTGCCTGCCAATGTGCTAGGATTACAGGTATAAGCCACTGTGCCCAGCCTATTTCATCTTACTGTATACTTCCAGCATCTGATAGCAACCCCTTTCCTAAGTATAGGTTACCAGTCAGCAGTTCTACAGAAACTCAAACAATGGAGAATTGTGTTGGCATCAGCAAACCAAGAATCAAAATGTTCAGCAGAGAAATGAAAGTTCTGATAAGTTGCAGCAGGTATCTTTGGTTTTATTCTAAGAACAGGCTAATGTCATGGTTCCTTTTCTAGGCCCATATAGAAATCATCCATGGCCATGCAGCATTCACAAGTGATCCCAGGCCCACGATAGAAGTCAGTGGGAGAAAGTACACCGCCCCTCACATCCTGATCGCCACAGGTGGTATGCCCTCCAGCCCTCATGAGAGCCAGATCCCTGGTGAGTCATACAGCAGGTACTCATTAACAGCAGTCAGGAGTTTACCATTGCTTTCAACCTGAGAAGCCATGCCAGGGGATCTGCCTAAACCAGTTCTCTCTTTGGAACCAGGCCACCATAGAAGGTATCTGCAGAACCTAACTCCAGTTGGCTAAGTGGTAGCTAGTGGTGCCGTTGCCCAAGCTGGAGTGCAGTGGCACCAGCTTGGCTCACTACAACCTCTGCCTCCCGGGTTCAGGCAGTTCTCCTGCCTCAGCCTCCCGAGTAGCTGGGACTGTATGCATGCCATCACCACACCTGGCTAAGTTTTATATTTTTAGTAGAGATGGGGTTTCACCATGTTGGCCAGGCTGGTCTTAAACTCCTGACTTCAGGTGATCCGTCCACCTTGGCCTCCCAGAGTGCTGGGATTACAGGCCACTGTGCCTGGCCAAGAGATTTCATTTGGCCTCAGGCTCAGACATATTGCAGGTAACAGAGGGAGAAAAATCAGTGAAAGCCTCATGCTTTCCTTCTCAGCTTCGCATACATTGTTTCCAGTCTCAGTCTGTCCCATGGTTGTTATTTATAAGACATGTGCTGTATTTATTGTTTTGTTCAGGAGAGAGAAATCTTGTAAGGATGTAGCTTAAGTAGCTAAGTAAGCTTTTATGTGTGTGTTTTTCTCTTTTAAGTACAGAATTATAGAAGGTTAAATCTGTAAGGATCTCAGAGATGGTTATAACTGCTTTTGCATTTTATTATTTTGTTTTATATTCTTTCATTTTTTTTGAGACAGGCTCTTGCTCTGTTATCTAGGCTGGAGTGCTGTGGTGCAATCACAGCTCACTAAGGTCTTGACCAGGAGGTTTAGATGGGGTATTGCTCGTAGTCATCTAAACCTCTAAGACCAGGAGCTACAGGTGCATGCCTGGATAATTTTTAATTTTTTTTTTGTAGAGACAAGGTCTTGCTATGTTGCCCAGGTTGGTCTCAAACTCCTGGGCTCAAGCAGTCCTTGCACCTCAGCCTGTCAAAGTACTGGGATTACAGGTGTGAGCCACCATGTCCTGCCTGATTTTGCATTTTATACACACACAGACTTAGCCCAAGGGATGAATCATGAACATATACCTCTTTATTCTCTCACAAGAAACATTGTCTGTGACTTTCTTCCCAGCTAGATTATAAGGACTTTGTGGATGGTGAACATAGTTTATACATCTTTTGTATTCTCCGTGCATTGGCTTCATAAGATCCATGACCAACTTGAGGTTTTTTCTGAGACAAGAGTCTTGCTCTGTCACCCAGGTAGGATGCAGTGGCATGATCCCAGCTCACTGAAACCTCCACCTCTCGGGTTTAATCAATTATCCTGCCTCAGTCTCCTCAGTATCTGGGACTACAGGCAGGCACCACCACACCCAGCTAATTTTTTTGGTATTTTTAGTAGCAATGGGGTTTTGCCACATTGTCCAGGCTGGTCTTAAACTCCTGACCTCAGGTGATCCACCCCCCTTGGCCTCCCAAAGTGCTAGGATTACAGGCGTGAGCCATCGTGCCTGGCCAAAATGCAATATATATATATTTTTTTTTGGTTTTTTTTTTTTTTTGAAATGGAGTTTTACTCTTGTCACCCAGGCTGGAGTGCAATGGTGCCATTTCAGCTCACCGCACCCTCCGCCTTCTGGGTTCAAGTGATTCTCCTGCCCCAGCCTCCTGAGTAGTTGGGACTGCAGGTGCCCACCACCATGCCCACCTATTTTTTTTGTATTTTTTATAAGAGATGGAGTTTCACCATGTTGGCCAGGCTGGTCTCAAACTCCTCACCTCAGGCGATCCAGCCGTCTCAGCCTCCCAAAGTGCTGGGATTATAGGGATGAGCCACCGCGACGACCTGATATATTTAATAACTGATGAGAAATGAGAGTAGGGAGGCTACTGAGAAAAGGAATCAGCAGTTGACAGCTCAAGGCTTTGTCAGGATTATTGGAGGCAGGTGGTAACCGAAGTGGTAAACTTGAGAGAGATATGGTTTGGGAGATAAAATTAAGGTTCAGTTCTAAATGGACTAAGTTTGAAGCCAAAGTAAAATTGTGCGGCGAGATAAGTAGACACGTGACACTGCAACCTGGGGAGAAGGGCAAACCTGGAAGAATGCATTTGGAAGTCCTGCAAGATAGGACCTGCTACCCTATATCCAAAGGTTTCAACCTGCTTTTCACTGCATGTTTCTCTCACTATATAGATTGTACCTCTTATAATTCAATGTATATGCCATATAGGTTGAAACCTTTGAAAGAATAAACAGAGAGGAAAGGGCCACATAGATTTTGAACTACATAGGAATTTGTCTTTTCGGGCAGGGCACGGTGGTTCACGCATGTAATGAGCTGAGCTTCAGGGTTCCTGCCTACTCTTGGGGTGGGAGGGTGGACAGATCCAGTGGGGAGTCTGTTCATGACTGCTGAGATCTTTATTCTTCAGAGAAATGTAAAAGGTATTTAGCCATCATGGCTTCTATTTCTAGAGAGAAAATAAAAATGTTGACTCAGGGAGGATTTGGTTGGCAGCTTTCCAAGCGGAGACTTTAACAAAACTTGTCAAAACAGAGAGTATGTTGGCTCTGAAAGTGTTTGGTTTTCGCATAAAATGTTGTGATTATTTTGCAAGAGAAAGAGCAGTCTGGTGTGATCTATCTTGCCTTTTTCTACATAGGTGCCAGCTTAGGAGTAACCAGCGATGGATTTTTTGAGCTGGAAGAATTGCCTAGGTAAGCCATCCTGACTGGACCTCAATGATTCATTCTTCCTCAGTCTTTCTTGGTAATTTTTCTTCATCCTCCCCTCCCAAGCGTTTATTGTAGGTCTTTCTTGAAGTCTGTTCTCTTACCTCTTCTCTTTTCACAACCTTGTATATTTCATTCCTAGAATTCCTCAGTAGACACCTGAAATCTTTCATGCTTTCAATCAGAGGCCAAAGTCAAATGCAGGGTAATTTGAAGATGGAATACCAAAGTCCTAAAACTGTCTTCTTTCTTCGCGTTGATAAAGCATCAGTTAAGAATGTGTCTAAAGTAGTTTGTATTTTAGAATAGAATAGCTGGTTTTGGCCAGATGTGGTGGCTCACACCTGTAATCCCAGCACTTTGGGAGGCTGAAGCGGGGGGATCACCTTAGGTCAGCGGTTTGAGACCAGCCTGAAAAACATGGTAAAACCCCGTCTCTACTAAAAATACAAAAATTATGCGGACTTGGTGACGCAGGCCTATAGTCCCAGCTATTTGAGAAGCTGAGGCAGGAGAATTGCTTGAACCCTCAAGGCAGAGGTTACAGTGAGACAAGATTGCACCACTGCACTCCAGCCTGGGCAACAGTGAGACTCCATCTCAAAAAATAAATAAGCCGGGCACAGTGGCTCATGCCTGTAATCCCAGCACTTTGGGAGGCCGAGGCAGGCGGATCACCTAAGGTCAGGAGTTGGAGACCAGCCTGATCAACCTGGAGAAACCCATCTCTACTAAAAATACAAAATTATCCGGGTGTAGTGGCACATACCTGTAATCCCAGCTACTTTGGAGGCTGAGGCAGGAGAGTTGCTTGAAACCGGGAGGTGGAGATTGTAGTGAGCCAAGATTGTGCCACTGCACTCCAGCCTGAGCAACGAGAGTGAAACTCCATCTCAAATAAGTAAATAAAATAAAATAAGAATAGCTGGTTTTCAAAGCAGCTATTGCAGTGGGGTCTGTGTAAATGGAAGACTCTGTCAGGTTCACAAGAATACATTTCCTGGCATTAGTCTTTATATGTTTCTGAATAACCTTAGCAAACTTCAGTGTCGATTTTCTTTTAATGGAAAAAATTTATTTTTTTGGAGACAGGTTCTTCTTCGATTGCCTAGGCAGGAGTGCAGTGTTGCCATCATGGCTTGCTGTAGCCTTGAGCTCTTGGGCTGAAGCAATCCTTTCACCTCAGCCTCCCGAGTAGCTGGGAGTACAAATGTGTACCACCATACCTGGTTAACTTTTAATTTTAATTTTTGTAGAGATGGGGTCTTGCTCTGTTGTCCAGGCTGGTCTAGAATCCCTGGCCTCAAGCAGTCCTTCCACCTTGGCCTCCCAAAGCAGTAAGAACACAAGCATGGGCTACCATGCTGAATGGATTTAGATTCATAGAGGGGAAAGAGATCATGAGGAGGTTTGTTTCTCTGATGCGAAGTTGCTGCACATTGCAGGCTTTCTAGTTTAGGGGGATCCTCCTGTCACTTGTGATAAGAGGTGATGCCTGGGAACAGGTGGAGGGACCCAGCACCGTGGCCCAGGGACTGGCCTTCATTCATCTTCTGAGTGGCACTCACTGTGGAGTTGGTATTGCTCAACTCTGCCACTCCCTCAGGGGCTGTGCTAATAATCCAGTTTGAGGTCCTAATCCTATGCTTTTAGAAAGGCTTTTAGGGAGAGTGACTGATAATCCATGCGCCTGCCTTCACTTTGATTCATGCAGAGTCACGGACAGTTCAGACAGGATGAGGCAATTCAGAAAAGACAAGGGAGCCACTTTGCAGTTTCTGTAGGACGGAAAAAATGTCCCATGAAGATATTCAGACCAGGAGACCAGGCAGGCTTCTGACTTGGAGGAGTTCTAAGAAAGCATGCAGTCTTTTCCTGTTTGCTATCAGGTCGTAGAAATGTGTTAGAGGACAGCGCTCCTTCCCCTGTGATCCACCCTGCATTGTTTGATTTAGGGTTGAATGAGGTGACATATGTGAGGATGTAGTCAGACGTGTAGTTATGACTCCTTCTGTTTGGATAATGTAATTTCATTCTGGACTCCCCCTCAAAGAAGTTTCACTATATATATCGGTTCATTAGTGATTTTAAATATTTATATTTATGCATGTTATAAGCAAAAGACTCTGAAACACAAGAAAATGATTTTACAATTGATACATGATTTTTCTTTTTAAGTCTACTTTATCTTTGTTAGGGTGTTGATGACTAAGTAAATAATTGGGTAAATCATGTAGGGAAGATTGCATGATTTCGTTTTTGTTCTGAGGACGCTTCTGGTGGGATGGAGTGTGAACCCTGTGGAACACGGTGGCATGAGTAGCCCTGGGGCCATAACGAGGTAAAGAGAAATCTTTTAGGGATTCAGCTGCCTGAAAGATCAGTTCCAGATGCCAGGCACGGTGGCTTATGCCTGTAATCCCAGCACTTTGGGAAGCCTAAGGCGAGCAAATTGCTTGAGCCCAGGAGTTTGAAACCAACCTGGGCGACACAGCACAACCTGATCTCTGCAAAAAAATACAAAAATTAGCTGGCTGTGGTGGCACGTGCCAGTAGTCCCAGCTACTCAGGAGGCTGAGGCCGGAGGATTGCTTGAGCCCAAGAGTTCGAGACCAGCCTGGGCAACAAAGGGAGATCCTGTCTCTACACAGTTTTCTTTTTCTTTTTCTTTTTAGGCAGTTTCGCTGTTGTTGTCCAGGCTGGAGTGCAATGGTGTGATCTCAGCTCACTGCAACCTCTGCCTTCTGGGGTCAAGCGATTCTCCTGCCTCAGCCTGCCTAGTATGTAAGATTATAGGCATGCATCACCAGGCCCAGCTAATTTTGTATTTTCAGTAAAGACAGGGTTTCACCACGTTGGTCAGGCTGGTCTCGAACTCCTGACCTCAGGTGATCCACCAGTCTCGGCCTCCCAAAGTGCTGGGATTACAGGCGTGAGCTACCGCACCCAGGTTCTACACACAAATTTTAAAATTAAAAAAGAAATTCCTTGGCCAGGCATGGTGGCTCGCGCCTATAATCCTAGCACTTTGAGAGGCTTAGGCAGGTGGATCACTTAAGGTCCAGAGGTAGAGACCAGCCTGGCCAACATGGTGAAACCCCATCTCTACTAAAAATACAAAATTAGTCAGGTGTGGTGATGTGCACCTGCAATCCCAGCTACTCAGGAGGCCAAAGCACGAGAATCACGTGAACCTGGGGGAGGCGGAGGTTACTGTGAGCTTACTGCATCCTCTATCTCCTGGAGGCAAGTAATTCTCCTGCCTCAGCCTGGTTTCATCACCGTGGTGAAACCTCATGTCTACTAAAAGTACAAAATACAATTTTTGTATTGTATTTTGTATTTTTAGTAGACATGAGGTTTTGTATATAAATGGGGTTTTGTATATAGATGGAGTTTCACCATGTTGGTCAGGCTGGTCTCGAACTCCTGACCTTGTGATCCACCTGCCTCAGCCTCCCAAAGTGCTGGGATTACAGGCATGCATGTTTTATTTTGACAGAGGTACCCTGGTTAAGTGAAATGTTAACTTTAGGGAAAACTTATCAAGGGGAATAATAAGGGAAATCTCTGTACTATCTTTCCAACTTTTCTGTAAACATAAAATTATTCCAAAGTTGGTTTATTTAAAAATACTAACCCTCTGCTTGCATCTCAGCCGCAGCGTCATTGTTGGTGCAGGTTACATTGCTGTGGAGATAGCAGGGATCCTCTCAGCCCTGGGTTCTAAGACGTCACTAATGATACGGCATGATAAGGTAAATTCCACCTTTTCTTTTCCCTTTCTTTGATGTTAATTTTTAAAATGAAGAATTTTTTCTTATGTTGTCATTGAATACTAGGGTGCAAAGCAGGTGGTGGTCAGTTGGTTGGTTTCACTTGGTGCTGTATCCAAGTTACCTGAATTTGGCCTATATCCCTCCCAGTTGGTAGTTGATGATAATTGAGTTGGTCGAACTGGCTGGTATTTTCATCACTAAGTGGTAGACAGTCATGAGATGCCCCATAAGGGAGACCTGGGTGCCTAAATATAAATATTAGCTAAATGAAACCGACTGTTAGGTTAGTTAATTAATTTTTTTTTTTTTTTTTTTGAGACAGAATCTCAGTCTGTTGCCCAGGCTGGAGTGCAGCAGCACCATCTCAGCTCACTGCAACCTCCGCTTCCTGGGCTCAAGTGATTCCTGTGCATCAGCCTCCTGAGTAGCTGGGATTACAGGCATCCACCACCATGCACGGCTAATTTTTGTATTTTTAGTAGAGATGGGGTTTCACCGTGTTGGCCAGGCTGGTCTCAAACTCCCTACCTCATGAGATCCGCCCACCTTGGCCTCTCAAAGTGCTGGGATTACAGGCATGAACCACTGCATCTGGCCAGGTTGATTTATTAATTTCTGAAAGTCAATTTTATATGATCAAGTAATGTTAGATTGTTACCACTCGTTCCAAATAATTTACTAAATTCTTTGCATTAAAGCAGGCGTGTCCAATCTTTTGGCTTCCCTGAGCCACACTGGAAGAAGAATTGTCTTGGGCTACATATAAAATACACTAACACAAACAATAGCTGATGACCTAATTAAAAAAAAAGCAATTGCAGGCTGGGCACAGTGGTTCATGCGTCTAATTCCCAGCACTTTGGGAGGCCAAGGCAGGCGGATCACTTGAGGTTAGGAGTTGGGAGACCAGCCTGGCCAACACGATAAAGCCACATCTCTACTAAAAATACAAAAATTATCCAGGCGTGGTGGCAGGTGCCTGTATTTTTAGATACTCAGGTAGTGAGGCAGGAGAGGCGAAGGCACTAGGATTGGTTGAACCCAGAAGGCAGAGGTTGCAATGAGCCAACATCACACTACTGCACTCCAGCCTGGGCAACAGAGCAAGACTCCATCTCAAACAAAAAAACTGCAAAAAAAAAATCTCATAGCT